CGTTGCCCAATAATCTTTCGACCAGAGGCCTCTGGCCCTGGCTTCCGTGCATCGCACAAATAGTTTTCGACGTTATGAAACCGCTGCTCGCGGTCAGTTACAGCGTTTTTGCTCCTTCCAACCTAATCTAGCTTCTGCACTATCCTCGCTCTTTTGCCTATTGCGATCCTGGAAATCTCGTCTTAAGGATTGGTCATCGGTCGTTTCGTTACACGGATGGGTGGTTTTGGTTCGACGTTTCTTTACGGAGAAACCGCTGAAATATCGTCCACGAGAAATTCGATTTTTCCTCTTTTTATTTGCTGCGATAATAAAAGATCGGAGAATCCTTTTATCAATGGCGTGGACTTTTCGAGAGTGCGTAGGCGAGGTGGGTTCTTGGAGAAGGGTGGAGATGATTGGAGGATAGTGGAAGAGTATTTATCGACGAGACAGGATTTTTCAGGATGGATGTGTACGTGTATGCACGTTGGCGAGAAAGGATATCGGATTATTAGATTTTCGTGGAATTGGTATTTTGGAGGGGAGAAATTAGGTACTGAAGTATCGCTTTTTAGCATCGTGTTGGTATCTTATATTAAAAGTATTTGTTGCATGTAAAAAGTGAAATTGTACGAGTGGATAGACGATATTTGTGCAATGAAAATTCGATATATCATGACAAAAAAGTCCACTAGATTGTATTTGTTGTATTGTAATGAGCACGATTTCGAAATTCACCAATAATGAGTCAGATTATAGTAATCATGAAATTGTCCGAGTCTCGTGATGTCACGATTTCTAGGATAGATAAAATCGTCGACGAGTGAAATTGCGCGGTTAAATAACGTAATTAAAAAGCTCCTCCGCACGAAGTATTATAAAAACATCTGTACATTTCTGTCTGACGTAAATAAGTCTCTGAAATTAATATGATAATTATTCCGCGGTGGAAAAGCAAGAACAAGAAAATACGACAATGTTATACAACCAATTTCCTGTAATTCTACCTGAACAAAGATCATCTTTCTTTCTCTGCGATCTTTTAACAGGAAATTGAACAGGAAAGTGAACAAAGGGAACAAAAATTTCTCTATTTCGTTGCAGTTAATTTTTCCTAGAGTTCGGTCTGTTTCAGTCACGAAACGGTAATCTAGACACAATAGAGCGAAGAACTAGAAGCGAGGAAATACTGCTCAGTTTCTAGGAAACATTGTCTACGATTTCAATTTATTTAATCTTTCATCACTGACACTCAGTTTTCTGGATTAAAACGTACTTGGTAATAATACGATTATTATTCACTAGTATTAACTCTATTATTAATTAGATTTTTATTTACGGATTTAACCATTTCTCACTACGTTATATTAATTTCCATTTACCGTCATAACACGCCGGTATCGAGAAAGAAATTATATTAATTGGAACGAAATTGCCGAGGGTTGAAACAATCTTTCAAAACGAAAGGAAGAGAAAACGTATCCGTTCAATTACGTAAAATGTTACAGAGTATCATGCACGCTCCGTGCATCACTCTGTAAGTAATGGTGGAATTATGAGACAGGAAAATTCGCACTCTTTGCAACTTTTTGTTGAAAAATCCGCCGCATCACGCGTGAAACATCTGACAATTTCGTTTCGTCATTTACCGTGCCGGTAAAAATACTATTTTACCTCGTTTTATTTATTTTTTAGCAGGTCCCTTCGCGAAGCTTAGCCAGAACCACGGTCACGAAAACGCAATCCAGACACACAATGACTTCACTATGGCCGCTGTCTGTCGGTTAGCTGCTTACGTGTTTCATCGCTAGCCTCGGATGTAGTCTCGGAAGGCTATTATGATAATAGTACTTTCATTACGAAAGGTCTTCATTATCTTACCGCGATTCGATCTACCCGGATCAATATCATTTCCCTCTTACATTTCATTAAACGCGTGTACCCGCGCACTCGCGATTCCACTTTATCTCTCCCCCCTCCCCCCCACCCCACCTCTGTAATTTTACCGTAATTTCCATGAAATATGTCATGGATCTTTGATTCTCCTTTTTGTCCAAAGTATACATACGGATGTATGTAATTGTGATATCAAAAACACTTTTAATGCCACATTCAACGTTCTATAGTTTGACCATCATTATGCTCTCGAGTGTATAGTTTATATTACACGCTCGATTTTACCTGGTACTACATGAGCCTCCAGGAAATCGTTGGTCGTTATATTGTTATCGTACTAAGCGCTATTTTTGATATTAATGTTATAGAGTAAGTCTTAGCGAGATTATTTATTAAATAAATATAAATGCCGAGATGATACAGTAGAATATTGATAAAATATTAATGGATAGAACAGATACGTAGGAGTGTATATTAATATAGAATTAATTGATGTAGATTATATCTTAAATTATCGAATAAATAAACTGTTATTATGTTATGCTATGTCTGATGTACAGAAATTGATGTTTGCGTGAAAATATGCTTCGACAGAGTCGAGACAGTTGCTGCTCACTTGCAGCTGCGTTCTTCTTGTTTCATCACGCACTGACGAATATCTTAATGACTCACATTCCGTCGACAAAAAGAGGAAGAATAAGAAACTATGATTCCAGGGAATCGTTATAAGGAAAAGTTGAAACATGCTGTTAAAATTAGTCTCTGAGTGTAATCCGCCTTTAAATTACTTCTAGCGTGTCGTAAGATGCGTTGGATGCGAGAAAGTTTCGGTGTTTCCGTGAACCCGTTAATCATTAAATCCCTTTTTCTTAGCGTCTTCTACATATTAGTTGATTAGGGTATTTAAAATGACGAGCTCGTCCAGGTACCAGAATTATGGAGGAGGAATTTGTGGTATACCTGAGTGGGTCAATACATGAGACGGCTGTCTGGCGAATAAAGAGTTCATTCTACTTGAACACGATGGACAATACGCTAGAGTTTCTTCTCGTTTTTTTATCATTTCGAATTTTGCAACGATATTGTCAAATAGTTGTTAAATAATTTTCGGAAATAGATTCTGCATATTTTAAGATTTTGTAGAATTTAAAAAATTTGTAATAATTTCAAATCTTCCCGATTTTCAGGAATAGGATATCCGTTTAATTTTATCTCTGAAAGTGGGATGTTCTATTCATTGACTGTAGATTCGTATATTTTTGAATTTTGTTAAAATATTCGTGCATTTTCTATTCTTACAACACTTTTACACGTTTATATTTTCGGGTATTATTAGATTATTTATCCGATTCTGTATAGTTATTAAAGGTTGTATAGTTCTCCTTGGTTGTTTGTTCGCTTGCTTAGAACGCTAAACATAACGATTTTGAGCATGTATCTAAATATATTGCATAGAGATGATCAAAATTAGAATGGAGCGTGGAAAATAAATTGGCACATATAATCACTCCCCTATTGCGAGAAAGCTGAATATATAATTTTCTAAAAATATCGTCGTGTTTTCAATAACTGTGAAGGAAACTCGAAACCTATCGTATTAATCTTTATTATTTCGAATGTTGAAATTAAAGCAATCAATTAGAAATCGATTAAAATAACGATAAAACCCGATAAATAAGAACCGGCGAACTCCGTAAAGGGAGGTACGAAGTTGAGAGCTTTCTGCTTGGATGAATAGAGAAATCAAAGAAGAATAACCAGAACTGGAACGAAATACCAAAGACTGGAGCAAAAACAGGGAATTATTTATAAGGAAACACATGCTCGTATCATATTATAGTATAGAGGCAAACATAGTACACACTCTTTAGCAGATAAGCCTTAGAGTAACGAAACAAAATGAACTGGAATGAAATGATATATTATAATCTGTATAATAAATTAAGATATATCTAGCTATATTTCTATAGATGGCAAATTAAGATCTAACTTTAAGGAGTAAACTGAGGTAGAAACAAAATATAACAGACGCGTACATACTCAAAAAAGATCGTAACAAGCATAAGCCTGGATTAAGTTACGATTAAAGCAATGAAAATCGTAATAAACTTTTCCTATCATTCTTAAGATCGTTAAATGTAGAATAGAGTTTTATGCGTATTTATCTTTCGATCCTTTACACAATATCGAATTTATAATCGTGCTATGTTGGTCAGAAAAAATGATCAATCTATAGTAGGTTTTCCAGTTTAGCATAAACAACTTGATACATTAAACTGTTAAGCTCGGAAGGAAACACAGTCTATCAATGACCCAGATAATCCAGCAACGTGGCGTTCGAATTCCCAGCTCGCCGACTCACCCAATCGATTCGTCTTCTTCCAATCCGATACTGAATCCTTCTAATGAAAGATTCAAGGAATAAAATGAAATCGTAATCTTCGGGAAGGAAGTAGAGTCCTGGCAGCAAAAGAAACCTTGGAATATTACGACTTGCAACAGTGTAGCCAATTTCCAATGCATCGTTTTTATAATATCGATTCTCTCGTAATAATAGATAATTAGCATACACTGACGTTACTTGTCTATCATGCTTGATATTAAGTAAATACACATCGATCAGCAGGCGTCGTGAAGTTTCTTAAGGAATTTTGGTTTCTCTCAATCAAATATTAAAATAAGAAATATCCCTTAATATTGTTCCAACAATGTTACGTTACATCAATACATGTGAAATTCCTTAAACAAGTTAGTTGTCCGTGACATTAATTTTTACTTTAAACACTCACTTATCACGTATCTGCATGTACATTACGTATTTATAGAGTTAATCTCCTAATTGTCGCATAATCCTTTAATAGTAGCGGAACTAACACGTATACCACAGTATTTACCGCGATTATACGTGTCACTGTGTATGCACAAATTTTCAGCGGTGATCATTTAAAACAGACATAATTTATACATCCATTATAAACGCCTACATCATTCATAAAACAAGTATGCGTATAATCCTGTAACATGTACAGATCTCCGGAATTACTCTCTATTCAAACTGGATAACATTCAACGACTGATCGACCGATCATTAACAATCATCCATTGTGCACGGTTATTTTCAGAGGCCTACCGTGTGGCGTGCAACCCCCGGAACCTGTACCGGACCCGGATGGCGACAAATTGGCGACGATAGCGGCTCGATTCAGCTACTTTCAGGAGAGAAAGAACTCGCTGACTACCGCGAAAGTCGATCTTCGTAGGAACATCAATCCGCCGGCCAGGTACAAGAATGCACGGCCAACGGTCAGGCTCAGGCCACGCCAGGTGCTCTGTAGCAAGTGTAGATCGATCTGCAACGAGAACAGCGAGAACGTGGACGTCAGCAGAAAACGGAAGCACGACGAGATTCAGCAGGAACAGCAGCAGCCGCAGCAACAGCAGGTAATATTTCCTATTTTCTTCTTCTTTTTTTCTCGTGTGCATGTGTGAGAGGCTGGTAAGAGAAGCTTCTCTGTACTGTGCTTCTGCTTTAGTAACGTGCTGCTGATGTTTATTAATCCAATAATTGGCGAAATTGTATCAACTTGTTGCGTGGATTATCAGGATTTTTCGATTTTAGCGAACGATTTTATTTATTAAAGATGCTTTTTCAAAATTTGTATCAATTTACATTTGTATTTATTTTTTATCAGCTTTTAATTTCAATGGGAACAACCGAATAGTCGGATGCTCGTTTTTATATTTTTCTTAACGACTCTTTGCATATCTGGTGAAAATATCGCGCAACCGTATTTTTGGATATCTTTAAATCTGTCGAAAGTTATGCAAAAGCTTTAAATATTAAAGCTCCGGGCTCTTGCAAATAGAAATATTTCGTATTTCATTGTAATCCCTCTATATCTTTCGAATAATAATAGGAAGGTGAAAATGAATTAATTTAAATTAATCACGTTTAATCTTCCGTCATTTCGAAATGAATGATTTCAGCTAACTTAACCAACGCGACAAAAAAATAATGAAGTCGCGGATTCACGACTTCATTAACGCTCATCGAGATTTTTTCTTTTTTAAAGAAAATTATTGTTGTGATGGTAAAAACCGCCAAATCTGATGTAGGTTGTGAAAAGTTTGGGGCATCGACGAAGGAAACCCGCGAATAGGAGCGAAAGAAACGAGCAAATTGTGTTGCAGGAAACTTCGTCGAATGAGCACGCTTCCAGACTAAGGAAGAAAGTCATACGATTTTGAACTAGAGGAAAAGTAACTTAACGCGTTGTCTTCCAAGAGGTGCACTTACATTGCGCGATAGTAGTTTGATTCGGGCATGGCAACTTGCCTCTCAAGTTCTTCTTCGCTTGAGCACAAAGTGTTCTAATGGTACATTTGGTGGGTACTGGCGTTCTCTCGTACAGTACACGTGTTTAGCCTTAAGATAGTTTATTTCGCTGGCTCCGTGTCAGACGCTAGAAGTTTCATCGAAGTACATTATATCGTGATTTATATTTGGAATTTCACCAGTTGTCTTGAAACTTTTTAAAGGAAGAAAATCTGCCACTAAATGTTTCATTATGACAAATCTCTGATATATCTTAGCAGTATTTGGAAAGTTGCCTGGAAAGCATATACAATCATATGGAAATTATTTTAATATGACTAATAGCTTATTTTGAAAAATAAGCTATCGTTGGCTATATGTTATCAAAAAATTTCATTGAAATATCTTCTCAGCGTAAATCCATTGCAAATCGGGCAGCGAGGAACTGCAAATGGAGTAGTTGTCAGATGAGTTTTATGCATCGGTAAAAAACGCATGATTTTTCATCAGGTCACGGGCCATGGATCCACTCGAAGAAGCGATCGACGTTGTGGTCAGCAGCCGCAAAAAGCCTCGAGAATACTGTTCTCTGAGTGTCAGTCCGAGAACATCACGGTGTCATCTCATCAAACAGCGAAGTCCTCGTCGTCTACAGCACTCAGCCCCGATTCGTCGAAGCTTGGATCGTCTCTCATCCCAAAAATTTCGAGACTTCAACCAAACGAAATCAACAATGCCATGCAAGCGAATGGTTAATATTTTTCATTTAAAGAAAGTTTTTCTACCTTCTTTTACTTTAAAATTATTTCAAATGAAAGAAATAGTTGTTATACAATTCTATACATGTAAATTTCTTTTTCTTCTTTCTATATAAAGATTTCGTTGCGTTATTGAGTTTTTGCTTTTTGAAATGCTTGGACGAAGTGCTTCGTATAACACGTGGTCTTAATTTTTTAGAAGCTTGCCCTCGGGAAAGGTGCTTAAAGCAACTATCTCAGGCTTCGATAGTTGAATTACATAAGGTCCATTTGCAGATAATAAGATCGTCCGTGGAAAACACGCGCAACACCAATAATTTGCACTTAATTACGACTAGCTGAATGTGCAAGGAGGATCATTAAAATAAAAAGATTCATGTGATGCAAAAATCGAAGCCGGATAAAACTTACTATTTTTGATAATTGAACGATCAAACTCCTCATTGAGTGAGAAATACGATAATATTTCTAATAAACTAAATAATCTAATTATTTTCATTATATTACTCTTCAATTGTAATTATCTATGTTTGATATACATATGACATATTCATAACTATTGACGTAAAAATGTTTTTTTATAAGCTGTAACTAGTTATCTTTGACACAAGATTATATCCTTCTATACTTACAAAATGCTCCAATCGTATGCTTATCTGGGATAGTTATAAAAATATATGACGAGTGAAAAAAGTACGAAGAGTTGCAACAGATCAAGAAAAATGCTAGACAGAAAGTATTGCATACTTTACAAAACTCCATAGATGATATGATATTTAGACATTCATATACAGACATACACGTATATATGATTTCCTTTTTATAAAGATAAATGTTACGAAACTACTTTTACTTTAACCAACTAAGAATGTTAGAATAACGCTAATACGTAATCTCTTCGAGCCTCGTCATTTATCTGTTTCTCTTTTTCTCCTGCAGAAAAGGTGAAGATTGGCCCATCGTACTGGAACAATCGAGCCGAGGAGGGCGACTCATCGGCGAACGCGATGGAGCCAACAGAGGAACGCATGGAATCAACGGATTGTGATAGCAATCCATCAATGGCGTATTGTGCCACACCCAGAAGACTTAGCAGCTCCTCCGTGGAAAGTGCAAAAATACCAGAAGAAGAGGAGAAAAAAACGTTCGCGGCCGCGGACTCGACAATGAGGCCAAGAACGGGTCGCGTGCCGCGAAAGAAGCGATCCGTCGGATCTATGGAGGATCTATGGGACGAGACAGTGTTCGAAGATCCGACAAGGACAGCTAGAACCACACCGGTGATTAAGATCTCTTTCGGTGCTCAGGGTGAAGGGACTGTCTTGAAAATACCCTCCAAGATTCAGGATCCGGAGTACGAGCAGGAAACTGATGAAGCTGAGGAGGTGCAGACAGAAACGGAGAGAGATCCGTTGGAATTGCCCAGGAATTTTGACAACGATTACGATTATCGTGAGGATGGAGAGGAAGATGGACAGGAGCAAGTAGATCCTCAGAAACAGGGTGTGAAGGACGCCAGTGCTAAGGCTGCGAAACGTGCACTGAAGAAGGCTAAGAAAGAGGCCAGAAGGAAAATGCTCGGTGGAGTTTCGCCTGCGAGATCTCCTTGCAATGGATCTCCACGGTAAAATAACCATTTTAAGATACTAGTTATAGGTGCATCTGTATAGTGGTTACAGGAAAAGTATTTGCACATATTCTTATTTTTTATGAGGCGCTCTTTTATGAGGTTCTACTTATCATTTTCATAGTATCACTACGAAAGTACCACTAAATGATACGAATATACTATTTGGACCTAATTAATTAGCGTGTAAACGGTATAATAAATACAATAGTGATCAAATACTTTTCGTAACTACCGTATTTTGGATTTATGATACAGATATATGTATATGACACTAATTATGATTTATTTTTCTTGCAGTTACAATCCTACGTACGACACATTATCGTATCACCGTCGCAAGCATAAAGTGAAGCATAAAAAGAAACACAAGGAAGACCGTAAACACAAGAGCCAACAGTCGCAGCATCAGCAGCCTTGTTTGGAATCCGGAAGTACCGAGAATCAGCAGAACTGGAACGTCCTTCCGGGCAGCGAATCGTACACAGCGATAAAGGAGCAGTGCCTGAAGCAAAAACTATCCATATCTCTGAAGAGATTGAATACAAACGCTTACGCTAGATGTGATTATCCTGTGAGTAATTCTTCGTTGGGTTGCAAAAGTCCTGGTGCAAGCAGTGATGAACTAAGTGAACAGGAACCTGAAGTCGACGCCGGCGAAACTGCTCCGGACTTTCCACCGCAGTCTCATCCTTTGATGATGCGTCTTGCCGCGACGCCTGTCGAACATTGCCTCACTGCTAACGGTAGAAGAATGGACGTTGGTGACGTGGTGTGGGGAAAGATTCATGGATTTCCTTGGTGGCCTGGAAAGGTATGCATTATTAGATATTCATTTATTTTGCTGGATATTCCTTTTAATATGTGTTCTCTAGTATGATCATGTGTATTCAGCTTAAATAAATATCGTATTCTAAAATGTGTGTTTGTTCTTCCAGGTTCTCAGCATCACAGTTTCTTGTAAAGAGGATGGTACGTCGTCCGGACCGCAGGCTCACGTCGCCTGGTACGGTTCTTCGACAAGTTCTCTAATGTCGTGTGACCAGTTGAGTCCATTTTTAGAAACATTCAAGGTAGATATCTTATTAATATATAATTATGTATAATATATATGTCGGAGATGAAAGAACACCGGAGCCTTTGGAATTTTGGATAATCCCGCAACATTGTAACCTAGAGTCTACTATAGCTGTAATTAAACAATTGTAGTTATTCAATCCGATTGTAATTGTTCGAGAGTTGTGATAGTGAGCTTG